GCGCGGCCGCCCAATCCCCGGCTTCGCCTTGTGCGCGTCACAGTGGCCTCTTTGCGGCCCCGCCCCGCAGGCCGCGACCTTGCGTGTTTCTTTCTCTGGCGTAGAAGCCTGTGTGGGCTGCGTCTTCCGGATAGGAAAGGTCACACCGGGGGCGGGGCGTCCGGGCTGCCCCTTACTTGTTCAGTTGTCGTGTATCACAGTCTGTACAGGTCGCTGTAGGAGTTTGAGGGCTTCCGAAGGCCCCGAGTGTGCGGTATGATTGAGTCGTATCTTGAGGATTGAACGGTATGATGTGTCCTATCTTCCGGTCTGGACACCCCCACCTGCACTAGTCTGGACTTGGGGGGTGGGTCTGAGGTCAGAGCAGGGGCCCTGAGGGTAAAAATGAGACTCAACTGTCTGCTCGTGGCCTTTGAAGCAGGACACCGACAGGTGGGCATGAGGGAGGGTGCAGGCTGCAGTCGAGTGAGAGTGAAAGGCCAGCCGCTGTAGTCGGGGAGCCTCAGGGACTTATCACCTGTCGCTGGTGACGTAAGACCTGTAAGGCCCCAGTATTTGGAGTAGAACATGCTGTCGTGGCCAGTGCCTGGGTAGCACTGGGTGGGGTTGTCGGTCAAGAGGTGNACGGGCGGCGCGGGCTTCCCGGAACTGCCCGGAGCTCCCGCGCGCAGGGGGAGGGGGCCGAGCGCCCGGGGCCAGGAACGGCCTCAGGCGGCCCCGACTGGTGGAGCAGACAAGGTCAGCGGAACTGTACTAATTTTACTTTTAATTTTTACTACTATTTTCCTTAGCCATGTTCTTTAAAAGTTAACTAATTGTTTCTAAATTTGAATTAAGAATGAAAATACTTCGAGTTCTTTGGTTAGACAAAAAACATATTTAGGATTTGCCACTGAAAAGCTATGTTTTCTGTGTCAATTTCTAGATAGGATTTCTTCATTTTTATTCATTTTTAAATAAATAGCGTACCATGTGTCCAGCCGCCAAAAAAAGCCAAAACAGATAAGTGTGTAAATTTCTGCTTTTAATGATCATTGGAAGAAATTGCTTTATCGCTAATGCTAAGCAAGTCCATCTTTTACCTTGAAGATCTTGTGTTCCTGTGTACATTTCTGTAATTTCATCGGATTTTGTAGTATTTGCTTTTTTGTTAGTTTTTTTTAAGCTGGCAGGTAAGTGGTTTTCACTTAAGGGTAGTGTTACAAAGCTTTCCTTTAAACATAAAATATTCAAGTAAAAATGAGACTTGATTTAAGGGGAAATGTCGAGTAAATAGGAGGATTGTGAATTCTCCCTTGTGGCCAAAACCGTGGAGAGCCTTGAGATGGATGGGAGCACAGTTGGGTAGCTACTTGGAGGGACCCTCTCCCTAAAGGTGACGTCCCTCCACCACGCCTCACCCGTCAATCTGGCTCTGGCATGGCACTCTTCCTAAAAGCACAGTTGATCCAGACACAGAACTACGTTTACCCCATTTTCTAATCACATGTTCATGATCACCCTGAAATGAGGTTATTACTGTTATCTCCATGGTACAGATGAGAAAATGGAGGCTGGTAGAGGACGACACAATTGGAACTGGGGACTCAGGTCTTTCATGAACAGCCCTCTGCCAGGGCCTCTGCCATTACCTGGTTGCCCTGAGCCAGGGTTTTTGGGGAGGATAACAGGGTGGGCAGAGGAATAACTGAGCTCAGCCCAAGACCAACCTGGTTTATGTTACAGCAGATCCCAAATCAGTAAGATTTTTATTCATAAGGGTTTCTGCTTGTATTTCTACAAACTTAAGTAAAATATAACCTCAAGCTGGCCAGTTACACAGTTGGTTAGAGCTCAGTGTTACAACCCCAAGGTCCAGGATTAGATCCCCTTACGGGTTAGCCACAAAAAAAGAGAGAAAAAAATAAATAACCACACCATTGTCACACCTAAAAAAAAAAAATCTCCCTTGATGGTATCAAGTACTCAGTGGTCGAATGTCCCTATAATTATGAATTAAATATTTTGATATAGCTAGTTGGTTTGAATCAGGATCCCAACAATGTCACACCTTATATTTGGTGGATAAATATATCTTATATTTTTAATTCAGAGCAGCACTGTCCAGTGAAATATAATGCAAGCCACATATGTAATTTTATACTCTCCAGTAGTAAAAAACAGATGCGGTTCACTTTAATAATTTTATATATTCAGAATATTATTTTGCATGTACAAGTAATTTTAAAATTTTTTATTTCATACAAAGCCTTCAACATCCTGAGTGAGTTTTACACTCAGTGACACATCTCAATTTGTACCAACCACATTTTAAGTGTGGCAAGAGGCCACAATATTAAACACTAATGATCTGGATGGTTTCCTTTAAAGTGCTAGTTACACTTTCTAGAGGCTGTTCTGACTCACTGAGAGTTTTTGGAAAGAATACTTCATTTGGGTTGCTGTGCTACCAAAGGCATATATTGGTTGGTGTTCTCTCAAGTGATGTTGGCAGATGCCTTAGATCCATCATTTTCTTAATGGTTTCCAAATTAGTGACATTTTAATATGTTCTTTTTCATTTAACAGGAATACCTCTATGGAGAGGGAATGTCCTTCATAAGTCATTTTATTACTCTAAGATGTACTTTATATGTTAAAGGCAGGTTAAGTTTTTGCTTTATGTTCACCAATATCCAGAATAATGAGTTAGATTCCTGCCATGTGCCAGAGATAGCCAATGATATTTTTCCTGAAGTTGTGGGTTTTAACATGTAAGGTATATTTTAATCCCCTTCATCTTTTGTTCTCTCAGATACTCAAACTGTCTAATTTTTGGCCAGTGGGAGCCCTTCAGACTGGTTCCCCATTCTTTGTTGACACACTCCATCTTAGCATTACTTGTAAAACATTTAAAAATTTTTTCTTACCTCATATATTTTCTGCATCGAGAAATTTCAATGATTGACTTTGAAATGATGGACTACAGTTAAGTATTCCTGAAATCCAACTTGGTCATGATGATGTTACTGCTTTGTGAATTGCTGGATTTCCTTGGCTAATGTTTGTTTAAGATATTTGCATCAGAGTTCATGAATGAAATTAGCCTGTGAAACTTGATAAACTATTCTAAAACCTTTTGAAATGAAAAATCAATTCTAGGTTGATTGTAGATCAAAGTGGAAACGTACAAATCAAAACAGAGCTTTAGGGGTTGGCCAGCTTGAGGTTATGTTTTAGTTAAGTCTGTAGAAATACAAGCTCAGTTGGTTAGAGCACAATGTTATAACACTGAGGTCGAAGGTTTGGATCCCCACAGCTGCCAAAAAAAAAAAAAGACCAAACCCCCCCCCCCAAAACTAGAACTTTATAAGTTAAGAAAATATCCATATGACACAGGGGGAGGGCTAGGAAAAAGATCTCTTAAGCAGGACACAAACAGCAATACAGTGACTTTTTTTCTTGTTATTATTCCCAAAGCAGTATAGTATAACAACCATTTATGCAGCACTTGAATTGTATTAGGCATTATAGGTAATCCAGAGATGATTTAAAGTATATGGGAGTATGTACATAGGTTATTTGCAAAATCTATGTCGTTTTATATCA